TCGTATTGGTGTCATATTGCTCTCTTCTTTTCTCTTCTCTTTACGGTTAGATTTATTTTATTTTTTGAGTTGATGGATAGAAAGTGTGGCATTCTCCTATACGAACCCATACAACCTTACTCATCAATATGGAGGGTAGCCATTTGCTTCCAGGTACTTTTCCCTCTTGCATTTGCATCTTTTTACGTCCCCATCTGGCTATCCTGTTCGAACTTTGTGCCCTTTTTTTTTTTTTTTTTTTTTTTTTTTTTTTTTTTTTTTCCCTTGCTGTCAAACAAATCTCTATGATATGTGCTTCTTGCAGCGTTCACATCGCATGGGCTTCGTTCTCTCTATTCCTCTCTTTCCAATCTCCAGCTCTCGTCTCGTTCTCATCCCCCTTAAACCAAACCAACTCGTCCGGCCTGTCCCGGAACGAGACGCCCCACAAGTTTTTTCTCACATTTTTTTTTTCCATTCCAGCGTTTCGTCATTTCTGGGAAATGTATGCATTTTAGGAAATCATCAACTACAGCTTTATTTTTGACTACTTTGTTTTTAAGTTAACTAAGTTAGCTCGGATCGGCTGAGATAAGTTAACATCCACCATGCTAAATTCAGTATTTGCTGATCTATCTATCTATCTATCTATGCGGTGTGGGTAGGTACAGAAAAAACCAATTCCTCTATTTTCTTTTGTAACAGACAAGGTTGAGGTATATGTATGAATTAGTAAATTTATGTCAAGTAATTTCCTTCAGAGCCATCATGAAAGGGGCTTGGTCGCAACCTTGAAGCAGGATGGGAGGGGTTCAAAAAAAAAAAAAAAAAAAAAAAAAAAAAAAAAAAAAAAAAGTTAATTCTTAAAAATAAATAATAATAAATAAATAAATAACGTTGGTGCCTATGTTGGCACCTTCAGTTGGGGAGTTTGGATGGGTTCACCCCTTTCTTCTACCAGCGCCCTCTTCACCAACCAGACAAACCCATACTCCCTGGCCAGCATTTCCCTCAAGTCGGCTAGTTAGCTTTTAATTAACTTACCCGTGTATCCAGCCATGTTCAGACGCCCGCAGGATCATGAGCCAGATCCAGAAACATCGCAACTTGGTCGTATCCTTTCGCCTCTCCGCATTTTCCACATGGGGTCCTGTTGCCATGAGTTATCTAGGTGTTCCCATGGTGATAAGAGTAACTAAGCCTTTTACTTCCAAAGAAAGACCTCCGTGCATTGCTGCTAACTGTACTATATGTATGTATGTATGTATGTATGTACATGTACATGTATAGCTTCCTATGGTGGTGGTCCAGGACAAAGATTTTGAGAAGGCAACCCGCAAACTCGAAGACTCTGGATTCATCCCTTCTTCTCCGAACTGCAAAACCTTCCCCTAAAATTATAGCAGGCCTTCCAAATCCACAAGCCGTTCTGCGGCAGATAAATGAAGGTTATGGGTGTGTAGACTGCTCCTGCAAGACCTTCAAACTACCCAAGCCATCTAATAGAGAGCTTTCAATGAATACATTTGATCCCAAGCTCATTTTGCCAGTCTCCTGATTTTAGTACAACAGCAGAATTGAATGCGACAAAGCAGTCTGCCGCGCTTGCAACTGCTCAATATGACACATTCAGCAACATCTTATACCCACACCAGCAAACATTGCTCGAAAGTCTCATCAGAGCTGCTGTTGTTGAGGAAACCAATGCTGGGGTTCACTTCCTGGGCGGCTTCAATGAAACCATGGGTCTCCATGATGGTTGGATATTTGGGCATAGAAAATGATATATTCTAGATGATTGCTTGGCTTGGATGAGCAGGTTGTGACATGGTATATAGTACACACTTTGGTCGAATACATGAGAGCAAGTATGGGCCATTCGACCCGCCGCATATCAAAACGTCTTGGGTCTGGGAAAGAATTTACCTGTTGACATGAGTGGCCCGTCCCATTTCCTAGAAAGGCATCTATCTATCTGTTCCTGAACGGGAGGAGAGGAAACCAATATTGTGAACTAATTCACTTTCTATTGAGAGGAAGAAGCACTTGGGAACGTTATAATGTGGAGGTGTATGATTTAACAAGGAAATTTGATTCTGGCCATATGATGGTAAGTAAAAAAGCCATTTTCTTAGGGCAAAAAGCAAAAGCAAAAGGTATACATCATATGGTATTTGGGGGGGGGGAAAAAAATTAAGACACATATCCTTTCCCCGTTCCATCAATCATGTGGGTCGTTACTTTTCCCCCACCCTTTACTTCTTCTTTTTTTTTTTTTTCTTGCTAATTTCCACATTCCCAGTTCCAGGGGATGAAGGAAGAAGCAAGCTAAAAGAAAAAAAGAAAAGGAAAGGAAAAGAAAAAGGAGCACAAAACCACATATACCATCTATCTACTCACACCAACCCATTCCCCCTCTTTCCGACCATCAACCCTCATCCTTCCAGAGAAGATGAAAATAGAGCGAAAATAAAAGCGAAAAGAAAAGGAAAAGAAAGTAAGCCCCTACTAAGAGGCATACTTCTCAATCACCGCTACAATCGACGCCGGCACGGCCCCAACTACTTCGTCGACCTTCTGTCCGTCCTTGAAGAAAACAAACGTCGGCATCGCCCGCACGCCCAGCTCCTGCGCGACATCCGGACACTCGTCCACGTCGACCTTGTAGAAGCCCACGTTTGGGTACTGCTCGGAGAACTCGACGAGCTTGGGCGCGATGGCCTTGCATGGGGGGCACCAGGTGGCGAAGCAGTCTATGACGATGAGAGGGGTCTTTTGGCCCGTGGTTGCTGCGTTGCTGGCGGCACCAGCGGCGGTGGTGGTGGTGGAGACGGCAGTTTCGAAGGAGGTGCGGCTGCGGCGGTTGGTTAGTTAGTTGCTTTTGTTTGTCAAGATTGAGCGGAGTGAGGATGATTGTACAAATGAGGGAAGCGCTGAAGTCATTGGAAAAAGTCACCCCGGCAACAAAGAAACAAAAACCAAGATAAATAGAAAAATAATGCAAGATATGGAGATGTTTACATAGAGTTAAAAGGGACAAAATTGAAATCTTGGAAACCGGAAAAAAAAAAAAAAGTGAGGGGCTTGTGGAACACAAAAGTAACAAAAGACGGCACAACTGGTAAATAAACCGAGTGCCCCCATCAAACTTACTCTTTTATATTATGAACAACCATTGTGCCAGCGGTAGGTCTGAAGCTGTTGCGTGCAGAAGAGGAAAAGCAGTGTATGCTCGTTGGCCAGTGACGATGAAGCGGGGTAGTTGTTCGCGACGACGAGGAGGGAGAGGGGCTGGGGCCGACTCTTCCGAGCGAAGCAGACAATGGTTTGGATGATGGGGTCGCTGTGGGGATGGAAATAGGCGTTGCAGGCCGTGCCAAAGATGATAGCGAGGACAAAGGACGGAGTGAGGCGACTGTGGGCGCGGGCCGGTTATATAGGGAGTTTGGTGGTGGGCTGGTGGACGGTTGACGGGGGCGGAGTGTGTGGATTATGTGATGTCGCGGACGGACTGCCCGCGATGACGTCTTCGGGAACATGGCTCTCTGTCTTCGTGGCTTTTAATGCTTTGAAATTCTTTTTTTGTGCTTTCTATCTGGTTCTTAATTAAATTATGATTCTCTGCCAGGATACCCTATTTTAAAATTTCCCTTTTCGCCTCGTATGTAAGTACTCCTATGTAGATTTATTTCCTTCCTGTTAACAGCAGGTTTGGGTGATTCCAAATGGCACTGCAAGCTCGGCGCGAGATATCAAGGACGTCGAAGACGGGAGGGAAATTCCGAACCTGGGCTCTGGGCCCAGAAAAATTTGTGCCTGGCGGGAAAAGAATGTTGAAAACCACTTACTTCCAAACACGTTTTGAGGATGTATGTATCCTGAGAGAATTGTGTGTGTTTTGTCCTCTGCAATCCCGGATGGAACGACCTGGTGAGAAAATTCGGCATTTTCAACCCAGCCAATCAGGGAACCACATAATCTGCCACTTATCCTGTTCAGTCAACAAACAACTTTGATCCCTAGTAACTACTCCGTACGGAGTACAGATTACAGTGTCTGAGAATAAATACATAGAGTAACTATTTTTTTTGGAGAAGAAATCTTTGAATAAGAATAACTAAACAACTATATCAGTTCAACAAATAAGTGTAAGTAAGAGAGCTAGATATATCATTTATCTCTCGATGGAATCAATTTTTATTTTCATACCTTTATTACTTTTTCCTTCCACAGCTACACTTTAGTAGGATATACAAGGTATATAATCTGTACAGTTTAGGATATAAAACTACACCTCAGAGATAGCTATATATCATATTAATCTGCATGTTCAAACATTAATTATCTAGATTTGTGACGGAGTGGCTATAGAGCAAAAGAATTTTAATTAACTCTCACACAAACTGCAATTGGTAGTTCTCAGACTGGGACACAGTTGAACATGATGCTGAAAAAGCTGTATTGCACTCATTTATTATTTTCTTATATATCTTCATTTATCTCCGTTTATTCTTTCCTTTTCTCGCTACGCTCTCGTTACCACTATATATATATATACGCATGTACTGTACTTCGCGCTTTTTTCTTTTCTCTTCTCTTTTCTTTCTTCTCTTAGCGATTAGCTACGCTGCTATCTACTAATATCATTACTATTATTATCCCTTTCTACTATCTTCTTCTATTCACTTTTTCACACTTGTAATAGGAGTAATAGAAGTATCTCTATTTAGAAGTATCCACAGATCTAGGGGATCGGTGATTAGCTTTGAATATAAGAGATTGCTACCTTGTTAATACTACCGTGCGTACTTCACACTACTCTTATCACTACCCTTTGTAGTATTCCTTAATCTCCAATCTCGGCGGCGTTTCGTCATCGTTATCCTTGCTACTTGTGGTTCTACGGCAGCATCTTGGCTAGGTCGGGATACAATAGAAGAATCTTCACGGATCTGCGCCTCCAGCTCATTAAGGCGTTGTTGCGCGTGTGTAAGATGGCGAGTTGTTGCTCTCGTTCGCGAATTTGATCGTTCAACTGTTGCAGTCGGGTGTTATGATCATCGAGAGTGGAGGCGTGTGGAAACTATCTTGGTGTCTTAACTACAGCGTAATGTTGCGGGTTCTTATTATTATAGATGGTGTTGCCATACCACGCACTACGCCGTGCGTATGTCCATCATGATTCTAGCACATTCTGCGCCCTTCTACTGCTGTCTTGCCACTTCTAAATATAGATACATCCGTTACTCCTATTACAACACTGCAAAAAAAAAAAAAAAAAAAAGTTCAATCATCATCAATACACTAAGCTATTTTTCCAACCTCGGCTTTGCACCTCATCTCAATAAAACTACATAGTTAGTTACTTACATATATTATCTAATACACTCTCACTTCTTCATTAACTATGAGATTAGATTAAAGATTAGAGTTAGGGTTAGAAACAGTTAGAACCTTGCAAGTTCTGAAAAATCAACATCATTGAGAGGGATCAAGCAGGGTGTGGATTTTATGTGTGAGATTTGTCAGCTTTTTTGCACCATGATGAACTTTTGCATCATCATGGTATGGTGCAAAGATTTAGAATCATATCAAGCTTGTTTTTTTCAGTCTTGAATTGCATTATGATAAACTTTTTTAGCACCACCTTCCAACTGTGTTCCCATTCTCAGACACTCTGCAAGCAATTGCTGAGGATTATGCTATCATTTCTTAATGTGGTTTGAGATGGCATCTGAGTTCACCGAGATAATCCTTGTGTACAGCTTGAAATTAATTATGGTTACACGCAACAGTCGAGGCTGGGCCGTTGAACAAGGCTATGTAATGAAATTCTTTGAATTATTCATATTTTTCATCTTCAAATATTTAATCATCATCATCATATCTAAATCATCTAAAATACAGTGAAGCTCAACTGATGTTCAGTGACACGGTAATTAGGTCTTAATCCCGTACACCACTCATTTTTGCCACCGCAATTGATCGGACTGCCGAGCTTATGAACCCGTTAATAAGGTCCTTGTATTTTTTTTGTCAATGATTATAAGTATAATATAGTATAATTGTAGTATTTAGTATTCATCCCTCCTCACCTATATTTATTCTCATATTTCTTTCTTGTCTACAGACTGTTTCAACAGAATTAATATAAAATACATTATAGCACACGAGCTGCAGTGTGCTAAATTATTGCGGAGCTAGTCTCAATTAGAAAGGCAGCTGTAAATAATACTCATAAACATCATCTTCAACCTCATCTCTATGATATGAAGCTCTATGTATTGTGAAAGAATGACATTGTTAACTCATGTTGCAGAATTTGTGGCTGTTATAGCTGTGATTGCAGCTGCAGATCTGATTCAAAGTTTTGTGTCTGTTCAAATTTCTGACAAAACTGCTTCATTTCTTCATTATGAGTAAGAAAATCAGACACTGCTGCACATTTAGAGAAATTATCTATATCATCAAAGTTGATCTCTTTATTCAGCTGAGTATTTTCAATATCTTCAATCATTAACTGATTTGTAATATTTTCATTGATTGATAATACCTATAAAGCCTTCTGGTTAATATCAATGTTGGCATAGCCAGAATGGTTAACTTAAAGAAAAGCTAGCCATTATTTAACAACAGTTTTTCAGACAGTGAAATCATAATGAAATTGATAAAAGAGGCAGAGATTAGCAGATGTATTTGAGAGTTGTAAAACAATGATATCAAAATCTTTAAACAGCAGCAGAAGACTATTGTAAACACAATCAATGTTTTAAAAAAAGTTGACAATATAATTTTTATACTTGTATTGCTGGCTGTGAACCTGACAGATTTCTACAAACACATGAATCTGAACAATAAACATTTCCTCAACATGGTTTATAGAAGAAAGGTTATAAACTTGATCAGAATTCAAATTATTATCTACAGAAAAGAAAACCAGTTTATCTGTTTATTGATTTTTATCAACTGTAATACAATAAATGCAGATGTTGTTTTTCAATTTCATATTAAATTATTGACATTGACAGCAGGTGCAGAGTATTATAGCATCGTCTTGGGAAACTGTGAGGCACTCGTTTATTATTCCTTATTATTAGAATATTGGTGATTATATCTTGGTGTATTGTGACCTCTTTCCAGTATACTCTCGCTACCACTATTTATATATATATATATATATATATATATATGGATGCATGTATTTCGCACATCTTCTTTCTCTTTCTTTTCCTCTTCAGCGATTAGCTACAACTACAATTACAACTTCAACTATACTACTATTATAATTATTATTACTATTATCTTCCGCTACACTATATACTATCTTCTACTATTCACCCTTCACACTGTCATCACCCCTCACAAAAACTTTATGAAAGTTTTAAATATATTGTCAGTCAGTTGATGTCAATGCTGAGTCTTTGCAAAGCGTAGAGCTACTAAGCATTAAAGAGGAGTCTGAGTCTGCAAGATTCTTCATAGCGGATGAAGTGGGGAATTCCAAACATAAACATAAACAGAGATCAGTATCAATTGATGAATTATTAATTAAACTCTCTGAATAATTGAGAAGTGCATGCCATTGAGAATTGAATGAAATGAATGAGAAATTGAAGAGATTGACTGAGTGATAGAATTGAATCTGTAATGATATTTGAAAAATAAAATTATCATTGAGTGGTAGAGGTGAGATTGTAGTGAATGAGAAATATTCAATTGTTTCATTGATATTTTGTAACTGTTCTTGAACTCTGTGTAAGAATGATAATATAAATGTAGTAAATGGAATCTCATCATGACACTGAGTTGTTTAATGACTTCATTGAATTATATCTTGCTTTTTATAAACTGTTGCAAGTGAAGAAGGGTCTGATGTATGTACTTCATGATAATAAAAGTCAAATGATTTTAATGATTGAAAGAGGGTTTGCTGATGACTTATTAACTGTAGCGTTCCGCCCCTAGTCTCCCTTCCGCCCTGCTCCTTCCGCCCCTGCATTATTATTCCTCCTATTCTTCCCGTATGCTGCGATCGCTCCTTCCTCTGGATTGGATCGCTGACGGGATGACTACGTATATATATAGGGGCGTTCGCCCACCCTTTTAGATTAAAGAAACTCAGACATGAATTATCCTACCAATTGAACGGCGTACGCTATATTAACTGCAAATATCAAAATGAAACTATTGAACATTATTGTAAAGATGATGAAAGATGAAACTTCAGTTTTCTACTTGCAGAAACACTTTTTTGTGAAGAAGAAAGTTCAACAAAATCACTGTCACTTAGAATTTCAAATGATTTCAAAGTCAGAAATATTGAAATTATTGATGGTTATGATTGTTTTGCAGACATTTCAGAAGCAGTGTGAGGAGATTTTGAAAGAAGTTGAATAACATTATTTGAGTGTTTTAAAGTTATAGAATCAACAATATGACCACAGCAAGAGCTGCAGATTGCAATTGTAATGATTGAAAAGTGTCTAAATATAAATTTCTCTAAAGAAAGAGAATTGCAGCAGATGAAGCAGATCTTGCTCTTTATTGCAAATTATAAATGATAAATGTATTGAATCAGATAGAAGTGTAAACAATTGAAAAGCTGGAAAAGATCTTAAACAGATCAGATATTGATGCTGAGAAGGATTGAAATACAAACCTGCTCTCTTGATATGATATAGAAATTTCAATGTTATAATAAAGTTGTTAATATAATATACTGAAAGAACTGTATGAATTCAAAGCAGCATTTATAAAACAAAGACATTTACATTCAGTCATTTAACTATATGAACTGAGAAAAGCTGTATATAAATTTCAATGTAAAATGAAAGAAATCTTTGTAAATCATCTACAGACTTTTCTTTAAAAGCTGTAAGTCATGATTAAATTCATTATAATTTTTTGAAATGTAGCAAGCAGCATGTAAGCAGCGATGTTGGAAATAGCTGCTTATATTTCGGTTGGTCCTTAGGACTCTATGAGGATCAAGCAGTAGGAGATAATACGGTGATATATCGGAGAGGATTCGGATCAAGTAGTTAGATATTGAGGGTGTAGAACGTAGGGGTCAGATTATAACAGAATGATCCGCTGGTCCCTAGAAGGTTGGACCAGCTGCTAGCTATATACACACAGTATCGTAAGCAGATCGAACTTGCTATGATGTAGATGGCGTAGTATGATGCAAGTGGCAAGATAATGCCTTGATTTCAAACCTGATATGACGTTGGTGGTGCTATGTTCGGCGATGTCATATCCTGATATGACGTTGGTGGTGTTATGTTCGGCGATGTTATATTTTTAAGGCTATCGCTAATTCCGGCCTAGCACTGGCACCTTAGTGCGGGTTTCTTACACAGCAATAAAAAAGCTCAGATTGGCTATTTATACAGATGCAGTAAAAAGAGCCTTGAAATAGAATAGAATGAATAGTTGTAATTGCTTGTTTATTTTGCTCAGGCCCTTCCTATACGGGCCGTTGCAGCAACGCGAGCGGTCACGTGGCATCACGTGAGCGTAACTTCTCATTGACCAATCAGAGCGCAGGGATTCAGCCAATCAGAGCGCGAGAATGCTTTCCTAATCCGGATGACCGAAAGAGGAAATTTTCTGGCACGAAAAGCCTATATATATTGCTTCACTCGCTACGCTCGCTCCGCAAACAAAACCCGCATAGGAGGTAGCTACGAAAAAACCCCATCGAGTCATCCCACCCCGAAACATTTGATCTTCCGCTAATGGTGGTTTCAGTGCGTCCTTTGAAACATGTCAATGTCAATGTCAAATGGACGATGCCCTCCGTATCAAGAAGCTCAAGGAGGAAAAGCAGATGAGGCCTCGCTGTTTCTGTGTTCCCAAAGAAAAGCAGGAAGACTTCTATCGTTATTCGGACTCACTAAAAACCAAATAAATAAGATGCCCCAGTATGCTCTCTCCTACGACACTCCTTTTCCTGCAAGGAGATCTTATGTCAACTATCTCGATTCCCCTAGTTACGTCTACTCTCTCTTGAGGATTTCTGAGAAAAGGCTGCAATCCTTCAACAATACCGCTAGCCCTGACAACGTTGAATAAACGTCATGGAGAACCCGACCTTCGGCGTCGAAATAGAGATACTAGCACGGCCACGAATAGAAATCCCAGACATTAGAAAGAAGTTTCAACGGGACAACTGGGATTTTGCTCGCTCCCCTTGAAACCAAGATCTCATCGCTTTAACGCAATTGCTTCTCAAAAGTGTCTTGCTGAGTGGCGAGTATTCCTGCACATCTCACACAGAATGATTATTACAGCAAGTGGATAGTAGCGCAGGGGAGGGTGTTCGGAACCATTTGAAGAGCCGCAAGAGAGAAGATGGCTTTAAAAAATACTGTAAGATACGCCTTCTAAACTTTAAAATTCGTAATTCTCACGTTATAGTTGGGCCTAAAAATTTCTTCTCGATATCAGCTCGATCACGTAACTTCCGTATAACACGATTAACAGGTTGTGGGCTGCACTTGATCGCGTATGTGAGATCAAAGCGCATCCGAGTTGTAGTACACAACTACCTACATTTCGGTCTTGCGTCTGGATGGCCGCTGGGATTACTGAAAAAGCTAGCCAAGTAATGGCTATGGCTCAAAGAAGAAGCCAATACGAGATTCCGTGCCCGAAGAACGAAAGGGAAAAACATCTGGACAAGGCCAAATTGCGCAGTAGAGTACGACGAAAGATCTCCTGAAGCTGAAGAGATGGTCAACTTGTATCAGGATGCTATAGCCAGCGGCTCATTTGATAATCTCTTCCGATATCCTTGACCAAGCAGCCGATTCCGATTCCGCGGCTCTTATATAGCCCGCATTGTTGCACCAGGTCGATGCCTTTCCTGGAACTTGGCAGCATAACCCTAACGGAATGTGGGACAGTTGAATTCAGGAGAGCGCCACGGTCCATGAATAGTGCGGATTGTTTGCCATTGGATCACCTTCTCCCTCTCAATGCTAAGCATGCCTATGCACATAAGATTTTGTTGCAGAGGATCGACCAGATGACAAACAAGAGCTAGAATTCATGCTGAGGGAGGAAGCAGAGATGTTAAACGTAGCGACGCCTTGAAAAACTTTGGATTGAGCGCCTGAGACGATCAAATTTTCCGAGAGAAGATGGAAGTTTTCCCACCCATGCTTGGAGCGCCATGATGTAGCCAAGGAACAAAAGGGCTCGGATAAGTTTCTGTGATGATATTGTTTGATAGCAACATAATGAATAATATGACTTCGCACTTTCACTATGTCCTGCCCCAGCTGCATGTTTCTGCTATATAGAGTGTTATACCTAAGCTTTCCAACCAACCCTTTAGAGGAATCAAGGTTGCCTTCATCCCCTGGGATTTAGAGGTTCATTTGTCCACCCCATAGGGGCAGGCTGCCCATAGTAAAAGCAATGTGGAAAGAGTAAGCAGAGAACACTTTGTAAAAATAAAAATAGAAAATGTTAGTCGATGAAATAGAGTTGTTATAATAAATTATTAGCCGAAGCAAAGCGAAGTCTCTAAGAATCATGTTGGCTGAGTCTTCTCATGAGTTGTTATCTGGACCTTCTATGTTTCTTCTGTGTACAGAGAGACCTTTCTAGCGTAAAACGTCTCCATGCCCTCTGAGACGTTGAACGAAATCAAATCAAATCAAATCAAATCATTTAGATGTAGCTAAATTCCATAAGCTTCATTCCTGGACATTTCCATTTCCAATTGCGATAAAACACACACCGCCCCTCAAATCCCCAATATCCTATTCCAAAATAACACTCCTGCCTTGACTACCTGCTGGCGTGTGCTAGCCAGCTGATGTCGTTATTTCCCAGCCCATTTCTGAAATAAATAAATAAATAAATACATAACCAATAGAAAGAAAAGAAGGCCAAGCCGAAGGACTTAGTAAAAGACAAAAAACAGAATGGGGGATAATAGCGAAATTCAAAAACTAAGGGTAGACAATAAAACAGGTCCTCTGGTAGGGAAGCGGTGCAAAACGAAGTTCTGCGTAGCGTACGGACTTGGAACGAGTGGCAAAGATATTCTTTTGACGACGAGGATTTTCGTTGATAAATCTAAGAAAGATATGAAAAGAGAAAGGAGAAACAAGAAGAGTAAGAGGAAGCGCAATTCTCTATCTGGATTATCATAGCAAGGCCAAGGGGTAAAAATGATCGAAAGAAGTTAGAAATAAAGGGGTTAGTTAACAAAGGAATAAGGCGTTAGTGAAGGGTTAACAAAAAATAATAAATGAGTGTGACGTGCCATGCATGCTCTGCTATGAACTTTGGCAAGTTGGTTCTTTTCCCGACATTGCGGATGTCCTGGTTTCATTCCTTTGGGATTTACCTTTTTTTTAATTTTTTTTTTTTTTCATCTTGATATTTTTCTTTCTTTTCTTTCGTGTTTTTTCCAGTTATTTTCTTGCCGGGTTTTCGTGGTTTTTTTTTGACACTTTTGTTTTTTGGAGGGTATTTCCCGCAGAAAACAATCTTCAGCATATCCTATCATTCGGGGAAAAAAAAAAAAGTCGAACCAAGGAAAGGTACAAAAATCAAAACCAAAAGAGTGTGGGCTGGCTTGCTTTTTTATGCAGTCCGAGAAAATAATTCTTCTTCGCTTTTTCTTCTTCTTCTCCTCCTCCTTCATATTCATCATCGTCCACCCGTTATGGCCTTTGCTCTGCCTTTTCTTCTTATCTTTTTCACCTACTTGACGAAACTTCCCCTACTCACACGGCGCTACGCATGATTCGGCAAGGTACCGCTCCCTGTCGAACCAGCACTCAACCTGCGAGTCTCAGATGCCCGCCGGGAAATCTCCAAAAGTTTGGCGCTTCCTGCGCTAATATGACGCACGTGTTGCTTACCCAGATCCACGCTGGTTGCGCGCCGGACCTCCGAATCGGCTCCGAGAGCGCTAACTGGACTGGCAGATTCGGCGTCTGATTGAGCTCCACCCGCTCCCACACCCTCTGTTTCCATGTAGAGGTTCTTGAGGTTGTCGTCGATGATGATGTTGGCATTGTTAGAGAATGGGCGGTAGTCCGGGCGGACGAGGAGTGCGCGTTTCCCGACACCGGCGTGGAAGGTTTCTTCTCCTTGATCCATTTCCTCCAAAAGTAAAGGTGGCCGACGCCCATGATCACGATCATCCGCTGTCAGGTGGCGAGTGCGGTCGTGATCATCCTCCGCATTTTCTGCATACACGTCTAATATGTCCCTTGTGGAATTCGCGCTGCTAGAATTCTTGGGCGGATGGGAGAAACGCCGGGAAAGTCGCCCCGACAGCCACGAGCCCTCAGAGTCTATAGAAGCAAGAGAGTGGGCGAGTAAAATGCTCTCAGCATTAGTCTCTGGGCTGCCAGCGCCAGATGAACGGCTGTAGGCACGTTGCTCAGGAGTAGCAACGGAAGAACGGTCTGCGCCAGCCGCTGCGGGTGATCTAGCTACTGAAAATGAAAGATGAGGGCCGCTTGGCGATTGGAAATCGCGTCCAGGTGGAGGCGGGAATTCATTGACGGGGTCGGTAAAATGTTCTGTAAATTTGGATTGATTTCGAGGAAACGCTCCAGGGCGTATGTAGCTTCGTTCCGGAAGTGGAACGGGTTGCGTTTGTGCTGCCTGCTGGTTGATTCTTTGAAATGAATCACTGGGTGGGCTTGAAATCTCCGACGGTGTCTTCGTCCGCTCCGAATTCTGTCGTCGGAACCGCGTCCCACCACGTCGGAAGAAGGTGGTCCAGGAAGTGGAGAGCTTTCCAGCGTTGTCTGAATGACGCTTCTGGAGTTCAAAATCCCGAAGAATATTTGCTATAGGTCGTCCGGTTGTTTCTGGGGCATGGGAATTGGCAGCATTGTCTGGATCTTTGGCACCATGGACCGGCTCAATGGAATGTCGGCCGCTCATACTAGACATGCTAATATCGTGGCTGATAACACTGGAGCGCCCACGTAGAGCAGAACCGCTACTTACGCTCGACAGTGGTTTGTCTTTCGGGCTTGAGGTTGTACCGTGTAGACTTTCCTTGGATGGGTCCCGTAGCCAAGACCCAGAAGAAGGAACAACCTCCACAGTAGCTGGAGATACACGGTCTGGAATAACAACAGCAACATTGTCCGCAGATCGAGGCTCAGGAATAGGAGGACGTCCAACTCCAACTCCATATCCTGAAGTTGGAAGTTGTGAGGGTACGGGTGGATTCCGTCGTTCTTGTTCGCGTTGAAGGTCCGCTCTTCTTTGTAATTTCCGCTGTAGCTTCTGTTGGTCGGCTATCCGTTTCATTTCTTTTCGCCGTCGATCTCTTTCCATCAGCTCCCTCAAAGCGCTCGCATCCATATCATCCGCAAGGTCTTGGATGCGGGAAATACGCGTAAGGTCTTCCGCTGGAATGACCTGTCTCCGTTCTTTGCCCGTGGATGCTCGAGAATGATCCCTGATCTCCGGCCCGTACCGCGGTGGTTCAGCATACCTCAGAATTGGTCGAGGAGCCAGAGCCGCGAAAGAACTGATTTTGAAGGAACAAGGTTCCATGTCGAAGGGGGAACTTCGACCCGAATCAACCTGTAGCGACATTTGGGATGATACAGCGCCATGGGCAGACTTTATATTCCTCGTGCCGCGTTTGTTAGACTCCCACCACTGGGTGGCGGGGGACACAGTTGAAGGTCGTCGTAGGACAGTCACATGGCTGGTCATATTTTTTATCTCCAACTCCCTGGCATAATCATTTCGTTTGCGCTTCGAAAATTTCCGTCTCAACATCGCGGGTTCGGTGCTGCTGCGGCGACCGTGAAGGGTCGGAGGGTGGCCAAGGCTGGTCTGCGAGACAGTGCCCGCGTAGTGAAAGTGCGAGGACGACGCGACAAAATCGCGCGAGCGAGAGGTATCAATCGAGGTAGGTTGGCGATGGAAGCGGGCAGAAGCGATGGACAAGGTACCGGGGGGTAAATCCGTCAGACGGACGGTGTCGCTGTCGTATAAATCGTGTGTTGCTGGGGGAACATTATTGCGTTTCCTTCGCTTACTGTCTCTCCTGGTAGCTTTCCCAGAACCGGGGACGGACCCATGGGAATGGACATGGAGATTAGATTGAGGGGAACCATGGCTCCCAAAGCCCAGAGCGTGTGCCTGTGCTAGAGGATCACCAGCAGTGAAGGAGCTCGAGAAAGCCTCGTCGTCCGCAGCCTTGCGGGGCCGTTTCCTCCGGCGACCGAAGGGCCATATAGCCATGGCTGGAGATATTTCAACGAGGAACACAGCACAATGAGAAACCAGCAACAAATTGACGCCTGTGTCTGGGCTGGGGTGGGACCAGTTACGCCCGATTCAGTTGACGTCAGAATAGAGGATGGCGGCGACACCGCGACGGTATTTCCAGAGAGGGTACATAGGTAGGTATCGGTAGGTATGGAGAGGAGGGAGGTTAGGATAAATTTCGAAGGATAGTTAAGAGGACAAATGAAAAAGCAAAGAAAAAAGAAAGAAAAAAGAAAAAAGGGAAGAGGAAAATTTCGAACGCCGTTTATCGGCCCCAGAGCGGGACCGGAACCGTAGAAAAGGAGATGCCTAGGCAAAGCGGAACTGCTACGTGGCGATGGGCGTGCACGGCGTCGTTTGAAGTTGAAAGTTGAAGCTGGGATGAAGGCAGCGAAGGGAGCGTTGTGGCAGGTGGCAGGAGGGGGAAATGCGAGTGGTCACTGGGTCGCTGACTAAGTCGTATACCCCAAGCCTCCTGGTTGGTTCTAGCCGTGTTTCGCCTAGTTCCGCCGTTCGGCCCTGGTTCTGTGTTTGTCTCGGCCTGGATTATCGTGCTGCCGGCTGTTCCAGGGTTTCTGGCCCAACTTATCCATGGGTTGCGTGCCAACACTCAGTCAACTGTCCATGCGATCCCCCCTGCCTGTCGCCTGCCAGCAGGGATGTACCTACATACCTACATAGTACATAGTACATAGGGGTATCACCACCGTAGTAGTCATTCACTTCAATGCTGCTTTGCTATATATGCTACGATGTCTCAAGGATTGGTGGATGCTGGGAATATTGTTCTGCGCTTAGAAAGGAGGTGGTGAGCATGAGATACATGCATACGATGTGTGTATTTATCGATATATGGATATCTTTATCTCTATCGACGGATTAAATCTTCGTGAGATTCTGACGCAACAGTGCGAATAGACTGGTCTTGGTTTTGATTTCCTTCCTCGTATTTTGTCTCACAACTCGTTATCGTTTGAAACATAGCTACGGAGCGACGCCCTGCCTGCGCCCCAGTTGGAGATTTTAACTGGCTGTTCCTGTCCCTGTTCCTGTGCCTGTGCCTGTGCCTGTGCCTGTGTCTGTTCCTGTTCCTGTACCAGTTCGGCAGAAGGGAATTGATTTATTGGTCAAGACTGGCGAAAGCCGACAGTTGGCAAGTGGCTTCAGGAAGCAATGACATGTCATGATCCCGTAACTAAGCAAGAAATGAAAAGAAAAAGCGAAGAAAGGAAAAAGAAAGGAAAAGAAAACTCAAAATAACATGCGCGCTCCTATCCAACTAAGCTATGAGGTTGGCATCTGAGTTGCCTCATTCAGTGTCTCATCGGTGCCAGCCACCCAACGAACCTAATATCCAGTCCAAAAACAAAAAGGACAAGTCACCCACCCTCTCCCTACGTAATACTCTTATAACAACTGTATATCAATAGTGCCTCAGTCATCGCAAATCGCTGTAGTTTTGAATTTCTTTCTTTCTTTCTTTCTTTCTTTCTTTCTTTTTTTTTTTTTTAAAAAAAAAAAAAAATAACAATAATAATGATAATAATATTCATCATTATGGTCCATGGAAGAAATGGAAGGAAAGAAGAATAGTGAGACAAGCCTAGATATACTCACGACCAAAACATTACCAGACGGCAAAGTACTGCCTCCACCAAGGTTCCCCCCGATTTGGGCCGTTTAAACGCATCTATATCGGAGCGTCCGTCGATCCCGCCATCTGAGCATCGCATTCAAGCGCACGGATTGTCCCGCTCTTTCCAAACATATCCTGAAATACCCCGCTTTGGTCCACATCGTCGGTAGAGATATTTAGTAGTATGCGTATAGATAAACTGTAGCCTCCACTGATTGCTCACTGATTGCATTGTGATGATGGGGGTCGGCGTTTTTCAACTGTATCATATGGCGGCCGAGGTATCCGGCGAGAAAACGCAGCATCTGCTTGCAATTTATTCCATTATAAGCCGTTGATGAGGCCTGGAGCTTGGAGAAGTCAATTCTGACACTGGCTGTGGTGTCCCTGACTGGCGAATCATAACAAGTTGGCCGCTTGATATCGTATCCTCTTCCGGGGACTCCTTTTCCGCTTGGACCACATGAACACCGTGATAATCGACCGGTGGGCTGCGGTGCAGTTTCCATCCCGGGGACATCCTTCGCCACCCAAGCTGTAAGGATTCCTCAACCTCGAGGCAGACTTTCACTATACTAGCTCGAAAACCACGCGCATTGCGCATCGCAATCACTCCCTTGTTGAGAGAAATTTTTGTTGAAAAGTTTGGTTGTATAAGTCAACTCAAATCACTCCGCAAATCAACTGTCGAATCATTCCTGCGTGATCCAGTCAGTATCTACTACACTGGGTAGAATCTTCAATCTCAAATGGCAACAACAACATCTTCTTCATTTTCAAGAGAACAATAAAACATTACATTCTAGTCCCTATCCTCTATATCTTGTCCTCAGCAATCATAGATGGAAATTCAGAACTAAAAGCTCCAGTGTGACAACTCTCACATTTGAACAGCAATACATTGAATTCTGCAACAGCCATCAACATTTCAAAAGTGGAACTAGAGAAGACAGACTCCCCCACAAAAGAGACTCTCATAGAGCGAACTTCCGTCTTCCTCGAAGATGGGGTCCATAAATAGTAGTAATATTGGTAATTGGTATGATAAATAGAAAGGTAGTCAATAGCCTAGATTGCAGGAGCTCGTCGGGATCGTCTGTGCTGAGTAGAAGGCGAAATTCTCCCCTCACGGGCGACCGTCATCTATAAAAACGACTCCGGTTCCCACTCAAATGAGCAAAACTGGAATTCAAATTCCCCTTGAAATCCTCCTCTTGCCCTATCCCCAGTTCCTTTGGATCGTGCGACTTCGAGACTGCTGTTATTGCTTGCCAGCACCCTCAGGATGTCGATTTTGGTTAACGTTCCCCAGATTAGAGAGCTTCCAAACATTGGAACAGTATTAAACGATCATGCCTTCCAGATGGTGAGCAGATCCAAGCAACGGAAATCATCACCAGCATCCCAGCATGACCAGACAGATGTCTCTCGGAGGTGGCCCTCATGACGCGCGGCTTCGAAACTGGTGTAACGCTTCAGCGAAGCCCAAGAGAGCTTCCACCCCGCTTGGTAAGCAAGCTCGATTTCTAGGTACACGATCCATAGAGCTGTCGCGTGTACTTGGCTCGCAATGTGTTTTCGATTTGGCGCAGGTCACTCCCGGTTTTCGCCTCTTTTCGTTCTTTCTCCAATTGAGTGTGGATTCCTTTTGGAGCAGACATTTAACTTGCCTTACGATCCAATTCAAACTGCATGCAGAGGGAAATCATCTGAACACTGATTGCGGTCACACACTATGAGGATATTCCGTAAGAATAACTCCCATTGTGATCAATTAGATCAAGCAGTTACCGGAACCAAAACTACTGGAATTAGCCGATATAACAGAGATTTCTGGGGAGCGCGTGTTTTCGCTAGTTCAAGATTGTCTAGGACAGTCTCATTAAAGTTGCTTGACCTTTCTCGACCAGATTGGGATATTTACTGGCTTAGATTGCACATATCTGTCCAGAATGCCTTCGCATTTTCGTGCGCCCCGCCATGTACATACATATAAGCGCTCCCGGAGCAACTTTTTCCATTCGACGTCCGTGTCTGTAAATCCGAAAGAGGGCGAAACCTACTCGTACCAAATAGGAAGAAGGCAGCGTATTCCCAGTCAAGTATACCGACAACTTTTCCGTCTTGGACCATGATGTTCCCCAAATTGAGATCGCAGTGAGTGAGCACATAGGGTTCGCACATCGGTAGGCTCTTCCTCAAGTTCTCCAAAACTTGTTGAGGGAGGTGGCGAAGGCTAAGGGCCAGAGCATCCCAGAGCTTTTGGTCAGAGTGAAACGGTCCACGGGGCTCAAGATCGAAAAACAATAAGCCTGGATAGCTTGAGCTTTGATCGACACACTGAATAGATGTTGACGTGACGGATCGAAGCTTCTTTCGCACTTTCACGACTTGGTCTGCGACATCTAGTTTTTGGGGTTCTGACAAAGAAGTCCATGCCTCCTCGAGCGTCTGACCACCTACGCGTTCGTTCAAAACGAAGTACCGCCCATCTCGACCTTCGGGATGGGAATGTCGGTATGGGTCGCTAAATAGTTCAATGTATTGACTTCAACTTTCGCTTTTAGACCCTCGTCGGGCCGATCTTTCAGAATTACATCTGATCCGATGGACCACACACCCCGTATAGATGCGTGTCCACCCGCATGCGGCACAACTTTTCTCGGGCGGTTCACACATTGTGGATAGTCGTGGGAGGTCAATTTGTTGCAAGAGATGAGCGTCGAGTGAGGATTGAAAAGAAAGTGAAAAAAAAAAAAAAATTTTCTCCAGGAGGAAGCTACTTGCTCATGTTTCAAGAGACTGACCCCCTCCCTAGGGCCCTATGGCTTTTTGCCTTGCGCACACGGCGGTTAACTCTACAGAGTATACATGAGGTTATAGGTATTAATTATCAGATCAGGCTCTTTTGTTTCAGTCTCGTTCTGTAGCAAAAGACCCTTGGAGGGCAAGCCATCCAGAATACAGCCAGAACTTTCGAAGGCGCGAGTGGGCAGTTGAGCGGGCGAACGGGCGATATGTTGGGGGTTTGGATCGGTTCGTCCCCTCTACTATCAGCGCTGGTGGTGAATCGAGCTCTTTTGCCCCAAACAGCAGGATAGTGGGTGTTGTGAGACAGACGTATTGTAAAAAGATATTATATTGGCAGATTTGATGATAAAGATATGGAAAATGTGTATCTGAATGAATTGGATGATATTTGAATAATTCTAGAGATACATGGATATTTTGGCTATTTTTGCAGTGGTTTGCTACTATTTAATTTTCCGCTCGACCAAGTTTCACGCAGAGTTGCCCCACCCCCCAGCAGTGAGTGCATCCAGCATTCATAATGAGACGAAAGATCAGAACCAGACTCATTTTTCGGAGTGTATTGATCAAACAGTCTATGCAAGCTCCTTCACGTTGCTCTCTATACAAAGATCCATCGCTATAATGTCAGGCAAATCGATCCCGGCAACCGGAAAGGAGCTTCCCAGCGATGCGATCCAACGTGTGCTTTTCATCTGTCACCCCGTGCATATCTATGCGATACCACCGTTGACCTCCATGAAGGGCTACTCAGCCGCAGACTGGACTGTCCCGGACCCGAAAAATAACAACCAGACCCGCCAGATCTTCACTGCTCGACTCCGCATTATTGAAACCGCAATTACCCTACCTTCTTCCCCGCAGCCGCAAGCGCGGACACATTTGCAACCTCGCCCTGGAAATCCGGCTCCAGGAAGAGAAACCTCCACCACCACAGTCTCGGTAGCTGATCTACAAGAAAAAGAAAAAGTCAAGGTGGACATTGTACTGGAGGACCCAAGCACCGGCAACCTCTTCGCAGCAGCCCCGTACACCGACCCAGGCGCCGTAGAGCATGCCGTCGATTCTTCGCGCTTCTTCGCATTAAGAGTTATGAATGACGGGCGAAAAGCAATATTAGGCATTGGGTTCGAAGATAGAAGCGAAGCGTTTGATTTCGGCGTCACGCTGCAGGAGGCACGGAAAGTGTTGGGGTTTGCCCTGGACGAGCAGACCCCTTCACCAGGTGCGGGAAGGGGCCCTATGGGAGCCAACAGGGCGAGGGGACAGACACCAGGACTCGGCGCACTGCAAACATCGGCATCGGGAAACCCATCGCAGCCGCCAAGGGATTACAGTCTGAAGCCCGGGGAGACGATTAGTATTAATATCGGCGGGAAGAAGCCGACGAGTACGCCGGAGAAGTTGATCAGCCCCACCAGCGCTGCTCGAGAGGAACAGACAGCGCTGTTTTCCATCCCTCCGCCACCAGCGCCACCTTCAAGAGTAACCGGGGATGGGGATGCAGGTGGGGGGGGGGATTCCTCTACATCATTCCCGATGATTGCGGCCCCGCCATCTAGTGCGCGCAGCGATCGACGGAGAAGACCGCAGTCTATGTTGGGTACGGAAGAGCATAAAGTGATGCATGGCTTCAGCGATAATGACGATGATGGCGGCGGGGAGTTTGGGGAATTTCAGTCATAATGCTAATTACGGTTTCTTATTCCCGCTTGCTGGGTGTTTGTTTTCTACTGTGGTGATACAGTTATTCTTCGTTATTTTTATTTAAATTGTAGATAGATATCCAGTTTGCAAGTAATTAGTGAAAACTTAAGTATCAACGCGCAAAGATACCAATGGTAGTGGTGAGAAGCAAGTTACAGGTCTTATTCCCAATAAAGCAATTTATAGATAGACTCGGAGCCATCTTATCTCAGTCGAGCTACCCCAGGTTGTTAAATGCGGCTAACAAGTAAACTCGTCCCTATAACAAGGCTTGGAAATAGAGTTTAGGTTTCCCTTAACTCCTCTTAGGTTCAAAGCAAACGCTTTTTAACTTTCAGCCTATCTTGCTACAAAAGCCCGTTGGAGTTGACAGGGTGGTCTTTACTGTTATATCTCATTTTTACCGTTCGCAACATGAAGAAGATTTCATACTTTTCAATCTCAAGTTTTCATATCCTGTTCCCTCAAGATTAATAGTGAACTTTCTTGAGCTTTCCAGTATTTTTCTTTTCGTATATGTGGTCATTTATGTCGACATCATAGCTCTGGCGTTCTTACTTTTTATTTTACCGTTATATCAGTAAGTAAAAGTCATCCAGGCCTTTCCTTGTCTGGAGAGCATTTCCAAAGTCGATGTGATCATACTATTAAATAAACTATATCTGCGACCTCATTCAATTCTACTATATGGATCTCCTCCATCCCTTCGCCCGCTTCGTCATGCACACATAGTTCCATGCTTCTTGCAACTCATATAGTCGTCTACATATCTATATGCATATCTTCATATATTTCCATCCCAGAGAGGCTTGACTTGCAACCATGTATCCCATCGTTGGTTTAATCCAGAAAATTCAAGACACCTCTCCCCACAGCGGAATCCTTCTGGGATACTTCCGCAATGCCATCATATGGTCATGCGTGTTTCTCGTCTTCGTGACGGGGATCGCGGGAAGGACTGAACAGTTGGAGAATCATGTCAAGGCATCTCCTACTATTCGCTCCGCCAGCCACGCACATAGAAAACTTTTGAACAAGCGCGCACGATACCATGTTCATGTTCTGCCCACTATCCTTGAGGAAGAGGAGGAGCATCAACTTCTAGAATGGAAACATATTGCACTGCTGGAAGGCGATATCGTTTCGAGGCCACATTCTCAAATTCTTCTAAGGGCGAAAGTTTAGGAAGAAGGCCAGCCTTGGGATGAAAGAATGAGAGGTGATATATATATATAGATATATATCGTGCATCCATGTATCCATGTATGTGCTAAAGAAAATTAGGCACCACACACTCTATAAAACCCATATCTGCTATACTTTTATGAGACCCAGTGGCTCACGCAGTTTCTTTAGCTGTGCTTTGTTTGGCCCCAGCTATGCAAGTAGCATGTGTGATTGGTGCCCTGTATCATTCTAGGGGACACAATCTCGAAAGCACTCATTCTACAACAAGAAGACGGGGGAGGGAGCACGCCCAGTCATATCCGTCATGCCCAAGTTCGACTCAATTGGATTCGACTTCAAAATAAAAGGTCTATCTAAATGCGTCAGAAGTGCCCCTACGTTGTCATGCGCCACTTGATGATATCTTCGGGACAACAGAAAAAGCATATCATCCTCATTCCATACCAATCTCCGACCTCCTCGAACAAATGATTGTAGAGCAAGGCTTCCCCCAGGCCAGTGAACATGTTCAGTCAGATAAATAGCACCGGGTCGGTTTTGAAAGCGCCACGTAGGGACGAAAAGGACGCCGGGGAAGTTTGAGGTCTTCGCGAAGAAGGTAGGAATGCTCCAGTGAGAAAATGACAGCATACTCGCAGGGTAAAAAGGTATCGTGGGCTGGGTAGTTGGTCAAGTTCAAAAGGCTTGAATAATAGAAACTCTCCGAATAGCGTTGGTTTTTTATTTATTTTATTTTTATTTTGAATTTTCCTGCCATTTATTGTTCTTCCGTAATTTGGATGGATTTTGGTTTACCTAAGTATTATTCCTGGTGTATAGTATCAATACCGAATGTATTGATGCATATGATGTCAAGACCTTTTTTTTCATATTTATTCATCTGAGCGTTAGCTTCGCTTTTGAATGGTGGATGATAATTGGTTGGTAAGGAGTTTATGGAATCACCATGAGCAGCCGGTCGATAGTAGTCACAAAGGCAGAGAGCTTATACAAGGTAGTGGCGAAAAAGCTACAATGGATTCCATAACATCGTTCTTTTGACTGAACAAATGGAGGGTGTATTAATTGCCGCTTAACAATAGAGGAAGAAAAGAGGGTATGAAAGTCCAATGGCACAAATTTGAAACTCAAAACCATATCTTAATCAATTCCTCACTGACAGCGCTGGGTGTTAGCACGCCACTCTCTGTAATGAGAGCTGAGATTAGATGGGGAGGTGTGAAATCGACAGCTGCCCGTTTTATTGACGTTTCTCCTTCGCCAGATGCCAGCGTTTGCCCGCTAAGCAGCGCGTCGAGGTGATCCGTTTTTTCTTTCGTTGCATGTTCGTGGGGTGGGCTTCCTGCTTGAATGCTGGTGGTTTTCCTGGAGGACTCACCGCTGGAATCTGTTTTGAAATCGACCACATTCTGTTTGATCGGCAGGTCGTATTGCCCAAGTGGGTAGAGTCTGACGAACTTGTGACTCTCTGCAACGACATAGAATGGCTTGCTTCCAGCCTTCGCTAGAAGGCCAATTTGATACGTTCCCAGACGCGATATGATACCGCCGTTCTCAACCACGCCTTCCGCGCCGACAATAACCATATCTACCATCCCCAGTGCGTATGCCACTGCCGACTCTGGGATTGTAGCTACTGGAATACCCTTCGATCTAAGTGCATTGACCGTATCCATACCTTCTGGATTCGGCCCGGAAGAACTGCCGTCACAATTATCCGACAAAACATGAATGACCTTGAATCTAGCCGAGGGAGTTCCTGATTCCTTCAGCTCGTCTGCAGCCTTCCGCAACAAGGCACTAACCACCCTTGAACCACCGTTTGTCAACACAGTGCTTCCATCTCGTATAAATCCTCTTCCGAATGCAGCAATTCTATCCCTGCTTTCCTTTGCGCGCTTTATGAATAACCGGCCGTTGGTTAGGAGATGCGATCTGATCGCATTGAAATCCCCTCCGGGGCCGAGCTGGCCCGGTCTTTGCAATGTTGTTATGAGGTACCGTTGGAAAAGATCGGTGCCCGCTGAAAGGGCGATTGGATTCGGTATCGTACGTTTTAAGTGTGTGGTGTGTTTTTCTAGTAGATCCAGAGTTTCAGATATTGTGGAAGAAGGGTTGTGAGTTAGGAGAAGGACTAATGCTTCGATAGCCGCGATCGGCATTGTGAGGTCGGGATCGGAAAGGAGGAGGTCATTGTATGTGGCAACAATACTATAGAAGTATCAGAACCCATGAAATATTAGCAGAATTTCCACAGTGCTGCGTAGTACGTACTCAAATGGCTCGTTAGTGCCTTCTGGTGACATATTTGCTACCATTGGATGCGTAAATGTCCGCTCACCGGTAGAGAGCAACTGGTCAATACGGCCTAGGAGAGTTTTTCGAAAACAGGTAAATGGTCAAGTAATTGTGAGTCGCTTATTGCACCGAGAAACGATCGCGACCAAGAGATGAGCGGGGTGTTGAGCGCCGGCTTCACAAGTGAGGTCAGAGATTTGATGTTTGAACAGTGGTTTTCCTGAAGCCTTTAGATGAACGAGAAATGTCAAATTTCAAATACCAATTTGCATTATGGCGTCAAATGACCCACAATCCAAATCCGTGTAGAGCAACAATTTGATATGTGAAGCTATGACAAGTCAAGCAGCATCCAAGATCTCACTTGATGCCAAGACTCTCACCAAAAACTAAATTGTGGTTATTGTTTGCGCTGTTTGCAGCAGCAACCCCTCTTTTCACGCTAAATTACTTTTGGAAGCATGCGGTCATTCTATCTCAGTAAACAAACAAATTCCCCTCCAACGCGAAAGTGGAGAACATATTCATTTACGATTGAAACCTATATATAAAAATTCTGTCACATCAAGATCAGAAAAATTAACTGCCCGATGCACTTTTTGCTTTACGTATCTGCAATATGGCATTCAATTCGCGAATGAGCCAGCAGGGTGGTCGGAACAAGAAAAAAGAAGACGATAGTGATGCGCTAATGCGACTTGTGAGTGGACATCATTTTACTGTATCCCGTAACCACATCTAATATTTTACTAATAATAACAATTATTTTGTAGCCGGATAGGGAAATCGCAGGATGTATAAACGATATTGGTGTCCCGTTCTCCGTCGCTGACCTGGTCAAGCCGAATCCACAACAAATCCAATTAGTCTTTGAATCGTTCGCGGAGCTACTAATGAATGCAACTCGAGAAACTGTTGAGCCGGCCATGCGCGCAGCTGCGGAGGATATATGTCCAGACCATGTCGATCTTATTCCTCCAGACACACGTAATCTGATGGGGTTCTTTATGTCCTTGCGGAAGTTGATGGGTTGAAGTATGTTCGAAGATATGCGTCTTTTCTTCTTTTCTTCTTTTCTCTTTCTTTTTTTCTTATAAAAAAAGTTTTCTCTTTAAACACTTTTATGCTGCGCAATTTGTAACAAATTTATCTAGTGCGGCGTCAACGACTTTGCCTTTACGGATCTTACAAAACCTACACACGACCGTCTTGTCAAGATATTCTCATACCTTATTAACTTTGTCCGGTTTCGCGAAACACAAACAGCCGTGATAGACAAACATTTCAGTAAATCAGAGACGACCAAGGCGCGGATCGAGACGTTATACGAAGAGAACCGGGAAATGCAACAGCGGTTAGCGGAGATGAGCAGGCAGCAGAAGGCAATGGAGGGCCCGGTAAATGATAAGATTAAGAGGAATGACGAATTAAAAGTCAGATTGTTGGAATTGAGGCGGAGTCAAGAACGTGTCGCGGAGACCCTCGAGCGAGTCAAGATGGAGAAGGCACGTAAACAAACCCATCTCGAAGAAATGACCGAGAAAATCTTGAAGAGTCGACAGGAGAGCGAGAAACTACGGCCATACGTATTACAAAGCCCGGCGACCCTTCAAGCATCTCTAACAGACTTGACGGACAGTCTAATGAGGGACAAACTACAGATCGATAATATGGAAAAGAGAATGCGCGCATTACAAACGTCAATGGACACGTTTAATGTTGTTGCCAATGATGTCCAAAGTTGTGTAAAAGTTTTGGAAGACATTGCTCTAGAGCTGCAGAAGGAGGAGGAGGAAGATGCTCGTGCCATTCGAAACAGGGATGCGCTCACAGAGCGAGGAAACACAGTCCGGGAAGTGGCTCAAACGGAGAAACTTCTGCAACGACAACTATCTCGTTGGAACGAACGGACGGAAGCGCTACGGAAGAGCAGTCGGGAAAAACAAGAGTTGGCACAAGCGCGGATGGAGGAGCTGAGGGGAATACAAAAGCAGCTTCGCGAGGAACTTGCGGAGAAGCAACGGCATATGGAGCGGCGAAGGATTCGGATCGAACAAACAGAGAAAAAGGTAAAATTCCAGGTGCAGAAAATGCCGACAAAACATTTGAAATACTTGAAGTATGGAATTTGCCCTGCTAACGCCTTCCACAGATGGTAGACCTCAAGGAAAATATCGAGAATGAAATCCACAGTGCCCACGATGAGTACTTGAAGTTAGAGTCCCATATTAAGCTTTATATCACGGAAATGGAAAAATGTCTCTGAGGATTGATTGTCGGGTCCAAACGGAATGGAGTTCGGATTTTGGGAGTTGGGCTGGTCGTTTAGGCATGCGTTTCTAGGATACCCTCATGGTTGCTTCGGGTGTTTTTGTTTTCGATTCTGGTTCTTCAAGAACCTCTTGCATGAACTGGGGAACTCAGGGTACGTATATAGAGCTCCATAATTCAAGTAGATAGTTTTCCTTCTCGCATTCTGTAAATTTCTCGTTCGTTCAAACAAAGTAAAACCACCTTTTCGCAACCTGTTTCACTTTCACAGTCCGCCCCAAATCAACATTATTTCCCCCAGTCCCGGTCGCCAGTGTTTGTCCACTTAGCAGAGGTACATCAGCATCCCACAGGCTGCTACCACTGGCACCTTCACGGCCAACAGCAACGCACTCGCACAAGCTCAAATCAACCTTTTCCCTAGCGGCAATCTCAACAGCGAGCGCAAGGTTCTTCGCAATGCCCTGTGCAGAGAACTGACTTGTATCGTAATGGAGTGAAACGAGACCAAGGACAGCCAGCACAGGTCTCTTTCGGTATGAGAGATGACTGCATTCTTGCTGAGGTAACAGAAGCTGCGGACATCGGAAAACAGATATATGAGCACGAAAATGCTCAAGACTCGGGCAAAATGCTAACGTGAGTCTTTTGGCGCGGGCAATCGACCCTATGGTATTGAACAGACGGCGATGAGAGCATTTATGGCTGTCCCCATGGTGGCCATTTTGTGGTGAAGATGGCTGTTCAGCTCCTGGTGCAGTTGACACAATGGAGGTGTACAGTTGCTGTAAAAAGGCATCTCTGGTAGAGCATACAATCAGCGTGGTTGTGGAAGCGTCTCTGGATAGTAGATATTCAACATAGTCTGGCGCGGAGTCTAAAGATCGGACACTTGGGTTGTGATCGGAGACCATATCGATGGATATATCTCGCAAATTCTAGAGATTTTTCTCCTTTTTGCAAGATGAATATTTGAGTGATATCGCAAATATCATATTAATAAAACATATTCAGTCTTTGATCTTGCGGTTGGCTGGCGGCAGGCATGTGCTTGAACAACGCCGTACAAACGCCACCAAAGCTTCCAGGCGAACAGTAGCGTCATCCTGGGCAGAACCCTCCGCAGACACAAACTCACCCCGCCCATCACCTCTTACGCCCTACCTTTCCCATTTCATGAGCTGCTCGACTACCAGGGATTAGCTGCTGCGCGGGCGGCTGCTGGAGGTATCTTGGAGAAATGGAGTCTGTCTCGCGCATTTCCTCTATGCTAGAAACAGGTAACACCTCCGCTGCCTTAACTTGAAAGCATCAGCATATACTTATGTGTTGTCTACAGCTCGCGAGCTCACAGTCGAAGCCGCTCACAATGCTAGCAGTTCTAGAGGCGCTTTCAAATCAACTTCCCCATATCGCCATACCTCGTTTTCGCAGATCAAGAAGCTCCTTGATAGCAGGAATGATCGGGATATTCTGGATGGGCTCCGGAAGGTCATAGCGGTATGATCATACTTTAATGTAACTGGAGAAAATGCTGACTAGGTTTCCAGTTGGTGTATAGGGCTGAGCCATGCCTACCTTTCTTTTCATCGGTCGTGAAGAACGTTGCGAACCCGAACATCGAGGTCAAGAAACTAGTTTATATATACCTACTGCACCACGCCGAATCCGAGCCTGATCTTGCACTCTCTCGATCATGCCATTCAAAATCATTGACAGATCAGATCTCAGTGCGCGCCATGGCGTTGCGTACAATGTCAGGACGATTAAAGTTCCCGTGATTAACCAGATCGTTTCGTTGGCCATTTTTCGCGGTTGCGGAGATATGAGTCCTCATGTGCGCAAAGCTGCGGCCCTAGCCATCCCAAAATGTTATAATCTGGATCCGTCGACGTTGCCTCAACTTTTGGAATATCTATCTACGCTCCTAGGTGACAGCCAGTATTTCGTAGTGGGACCCGCTGTCTCATCATTTCTTGAGGTGTGTCCTGACAGGATTGATTTGGTACACAAGCATTATCGCAACCTTGTTAGGAAGCTAGTGGATATGGATGAATGGGGACAACTTGCGACCCTACGGTTGATGGTAGTCTATGCTAGGAAATGTTTTCCTAGGAGAACAGAAAAACTAAAGGCTTCCAAGCCTAAGGGTTTTTATGAAGAGGAAGATGAGGGGAATGCAGATGCCGAGGAATCTGGTGAGGAGATTCAGGTAATCGACCCAGACCTTGACCTCTTGCTCAGGGCATGCAAACCTCTACTCCAAAGTCGGAACGCCGCCGTCATTGTGAGTGTCGTTCGACTGTTCCTATATGTTGGGACTAATGCGTACCTTAACACTGCTGTTGGACCATTAGTTGCCTTGTTGCGGGGTCCGCAAGATATACAATATGTCGCACTATATAATATCATATGTGTGGCCCTCATCGACCCAAATCCCTTCTTGAAGTACGCTTCGCATTTCTTAATACGCTCGTCTGATCTGCCGCATATATGGAGGTTAAAGCTAGAAATCTTAACTCTCCTATTCCCACACTGCGGACTTCACCTTAAAGGCATCATTCTCAGTGAACTGGAGCATTTTTCCCATGAATCACAACCTGAACTCGTTCGAGAAAGTGTAAGGGCAATTGGTAGATGTGCTCAGAATGACTCAGCCACATCAGCGTGGTGCCTTCGAGTTCTGCTGAGCCAGATATCCAGTGCCGATGATAATCTTGTCTCGGAAGCCTTAACCGTCATTAGGCATCTTATCCAACAAGATCCAGCATCACACAAAAAGACAGTCGTTATGCTAGCTAAACACCTCGACACGACGACCAGCCCCGATGCAAGGGCCAGCATAATATGGCTAGTGGGTGAGTTTGCAGGCATTGACGTGGGCAACGATATTGCCCCAGATGTCCTGCGGATTCTTGTAAAGGGATTCGCAGATGAATCCGAAACGGCGAAGCAACAAATTGTCCTTTTAGGAGCTAAGGTCTACCTCCACCACCTGCTACATATCGCCGAGAACATCGAAACAACAACCAATAATATCGAAAACGAGAACCATGGCAATGACTGTGACAACGCTCCACAAACCCCATTCCAAGCAGAACCTGGAGATAAAGACTCCCTAAAAGTCCTATGGGAATACATTCTCCTGCTAGCCCGCTACGATATCTCCTACGACCTTCGTGATCGCGCCCGCCTCTACAAATCTTTACTCGCAGTACCGAGTTCCACGCAACTAGCCAGCCTCCTCCTACTCGCCCCAAAACCGGTCCCTTTCACCCCCTCCCCATCAGAAACGCGCAAGGACCTACTTCTCGGCACATCTTCGCTTGTCATAGGGCCCGATGCTGGTATCCACGGCTTGCGTGGTTACAAGCCTCTTCCCGATTGGGTCCATGCTGGGGAGGAGCCAGATCCAAAACTTCGTGAGGATGAGCTGAGCAAAGCTGGGCTTGTTGAGAAGGTGCATCTGACGGCTGGTGAGAGGTTGGATCATGCACTCAAGGAACATGATGTTGGGACGGGTAGGGCTAAGCAGAATGGGGTTGTGGTGGGGAATGGGAAGAAGACGTTGGATGATTGGCTTGCGGAGGACAGTGAGGAGAGTGATGAGGAGGAGGAGGATGAGGAGGCGGAGGAGGAGGAGGAAGAAGAAGAAGAAAAAGAAGGAAGTACAGATTACGAAAGTGAAGAGGATGAGAAATCGGAGGATAGTCAAGAGGGAGAGAACGAGTCGGGGAATGAGTCTGAAGAGGATCACTGCAGAGATGATGAAAATGCCGCTTTGGTGAGATGACATAGTTACTTTTATATCTATTTTACTTCGACGTATCTTTTATTACCTAGATAAAGCACGTTACGGGCTAATAACGATCAACACAATAGCCACATAATTTTGCTTCACATTCCAGTTCTGGTGGTGTGAGGTATGGAACGTCTCTGTGACTGAGGCTCAGCAAAGTAATAGTGACATGAAAATACTGATATCCGAGTTAAGAGCAGAAAAACCCAGGAGTGACGTGGGTTTCATTCAATCAAGCCTTTTTCAGGAGCATCCAAGATATCCCAATAGAAAGCACACAGCATCCCTTCCCTCACAACGCCCTTTGCGAGTCCCATGGGGTAATATTCTCGGTATGATATAAATGTTGCCACAGTACTAGTAATACCAAAGTTGTTCACGCTATGCTTGAGTGATAAGGAGAGCCAGCCTTTGGTTCTTGGCATGAAAATATAATTCAGGAAATTCGTCATCCAATAAATCACGGTTGTATAGTGTAGCGGTCAGCACGCCAGATTCTGATTCTGGAAACCTGGGTTCGATTCCCAGTACGACCTAAAATGAAAAGCTCAATTATTTAGATATAATTTTTTTTTTTTCCTCGGCTTTACTTCAATCAGCTCGAGCAATTTACTATGGGGAGGATTTTTTCTTCTTTTTTTCCAAAGGGGACCCACAAAAACACACGGAGAAATTGTAATGGGATGTAGGCAAGAAAGAACCAGCCACCCAACATGTTGCGGTTGTATAGCTAGCGGTTAGCACGCTAGATGGAAACCTAGGTTCGAGTCCCAGTACGACCTGAACAGTTCAATGGCTGTTTCCACTTTATTGTTTACCTTTTATTTCTTATTCCTTCGACTACTTCTTTTTAAATGTCTATACGAGGTCCGATAAATCCTAGTCACGTGATGTATATTCAAATTCGAACCTCGATGAACATAGTTTTATTTTGATTTTTTCGAAATTTTATATATATATATATATATATATATATATATGGGTGTGAATAATATGGGTTATATAGGCTTCTTTCAAATTTCTGTCGGATTTCAGACTGCCTCGTGATATGTAAAAATAGTGTACACGGAGCGAAAAAGTAGAGCAAAGAACCCGAAACGGAACTCCTGTGAGGCGTGTGGATGAAAAAAAAAAAAAAAAAAAACAAAATCCACCTCGCATCATTTATCCATCCTTGGGTGATTAGCCTGTATAAGGCTACCTTAATATGAATCAATTAAGTGTACAAGAAATGGCCAAAAAGCCATAGTGTACTACTGCTACTCCCATCGCTTAAATCTAATAAAATAACACATAACTCAACAGCATAGGGATACCCCGGTTGTTCTTTTCTCGCTTGCCGGCTTGGTTGATTTGCTGTGAGCCAGGGATTTCTTGCATTTCTTTGCATTTTGCCCGATCCTAATGCCATGGTAGAGGAGTTGGAAGATCAGGATCTAGATGAAGGGGATTTTATCCCATTGACTTAGCCAACAGACGGGTAGTAGTGGTGGCGGTATGCCATCCCGAATCCCAGGGATATATAGTCAGGGTCTGTGGCGTACGCATATGCGTTCAACTCCATTCCATCGTTAAACGATGGGATGGGGATGTATTTGGTTAAATAAATCGACACTACTGTCGACACAACCTAACACCTTTGGGTTCCTTGGATATTCCTAAGTCTCCTAAGAAAATAGGGAAATAACCCCACACCATAACCTTCCTTACAGCATTCGTAAAATTCATACGGAGAAAGAGGACGCTTGCGGCCTTGCTTCGCTGAAGCAACTGATGAGGAAACAAGGGGAGCGACAGGTCCGGAACCAGGGCGATGGCCAGCCTCCCTTGCCTGAATGGCGAGTGAGAGCTGAAACCAGATGACCTTGGCCAATATTGTTAATCGCTTCTATCACTCTACACAAAACAGTCACTCTGCAAGTGTATTTTTCTTTGCTGTATACTTGTGAAGCCTGTTGGAAAAAAAAAAAAAAAAAAAAAAGGCAGGAAAAGAGGGGAAAACATGACAACATGACACGGATTGTCCGTAGCACTAGCTGCGGAAGTAGAAGCATGAGCAGCTCAGGAGTATAATATTTCCTGGAGGGCTGATATAGGCGTATGTTCGACGCTCTTTCCAGGGCAGATTAATATATGAAGCCATACTAAACTCGGCGTGAGCATAAAACATAGTCAAGGCAAACTGGAAACACCACCACCACAACCACAACCGCCATCTACAGATTTGAGGGTTAGGTGTTAAAGTGGCCGAATGCAAACCCATTTCTGATATACAAAAAGTCTCCAAGCGTTAGCTACGCAAACGGGAAGACATACATATTCGGTGGAACGAAAATTCGCTTCCCGGTCTCAGGAGATTATATCCAGTGTAGACGAGGGCCACAGAGTTATAATTCAAAAGGAAAGTCGGATACAACAAGAGTATCCCAAATGCAAAACAATCCGACTTGTTTGACATATATATAGATATAGATATATTAATTTATAGGCCCAAAAGGCCATTAGCCTGAAAGGAAAAAGAATGCCATGACGTTTTAAGTTAACGGGTATGGGTTATCATGTGAGAAAAAGGTGGTAGATTACCAATGAAGTGACATGTTTCAGGGGAGTATCGTAATTCACCATCGACGACTAGGAATAAATTAGTACAAGTGAGCCAAATTATATGTTGACGAATACCATACCTGTAGGCCTCAGCGACATGAGGCTGCCGTCGCTTCAGTTTTGGGGTAATGTCATCTTCCTGGCGTCTGGGTTCTTCAGGTCTTTCAGGGGATTCATCTTGTCTGCTTCTCTTGCGAGAGGTATGTTCAGCTTCAGATTGGCCGTGACGGATATGGGGTTCGTGTTGTTGTAATTTTTGGATGTCAGCATTGTCTTGGGAACACTGATGTTCATTTGGATAGTTAGTGGGATCGAGGTCGGCATTGCCGTCTAGTCCGAATTTGTTATCACTGGCTTTATGGTTACGGATCCCAGCATTATCGTGGCTTTGTGGGTGTCCACGGTTATTCAGTCTTTTCTTGGGTTTTGGTTTATTTGTCCCCTTAAATTGCTGCGGTTTTGGCTTTCGTCGATCCTGGGAATTTAAGTGGCTACCACGACCACCTCGGCGATCAAAAGGAACATTACGCCTGCCTTCTTGTTGGCCAGGCTTACGGTTTGGGCCTTCCATCTGTTGCCTCCGATCACGCTGGTTTCTTTGATTCCCCCGTCGCTTGTCATTCGACCGACCCCTCCCGGGTTTTATTCTTCAAATCTCCCAGTCAGAATGTAAATAAACCCAGGGGTAGAAAACAATATGCCACATGCATGGGGTATAGAAATGAACGGCAACTTACGCGTATGTTTGATTAAAGTTTTGATGATCATGAGAGTCATGGTAACCATCATCTATCCTCGAAATAGGGGAGGTTGGATGATCCGCCACCTCCGGAGAAGATATATAGTCTCTATCGTTTATCTTTGAAGTGTACGATGGGGATGGAGAACATTCGCGGGAATGACTCCTACTCGTAGCTCGATCATAACTGCCTTCATTAAAAGGTAATAATGGAGGCTTCCCCCTCTTGATATCTATCTTCCTGTGG